ATATATTAATCATAAAATTGTCTCTTATTTATAGGAGTGAGAGTACAATATATTAAGTTACATGTTTGTTCATGTTTTAATGGGGTGTTGCTGGAATTTATTGATATTTTACATGTGCGTTGTATCCAGTCTACTTTTTAGGACTTAGTTCCTATGAATGTGTCTGATTGGCTTTGCAAGCATTGGTTCATTTGAATGTATTCAGTCAGCTTTGTGAGCCTTCGGGTCTTCTGTTGGTAGACATGATGCATAAATATAATTATATTTTTATATATTCCTAAAAAAAAAATTAAAAGCAAATATAATGAAAATTTTTTATTTTAAAATATAGTCTTATAAGGATGGAAGATACTTATGTTCTTTATCCAAAAAATGAAATCTATAATTACTTAGATATTTTAGTAATTTAAGAAAAGGTAATAATTCCAAATTTTAAATTTATACTAATTGAAAGAGAATGAAATAAAAGAAAATTTTATATTTATTGTACATTTGACAATAAATAGATGAAATGTGAAAAATCTGTTTAGAATCATATTATGTCCGAATGAGGTGTTCAGACAGTTCACGTCGTTATACACGTCAACGACGGGCAACGTAGCCGCTGGTGGCAGGCCATCCAAACATCCAGACAGAACATTTTTTTGTGATCAATAGCTACTTTTTTATGACTAGATATGGTATAAATCATCAAAATCAAGAAATTAATAGATTTAATTTCTACCTAAAATAATAACGATATATTTTTTTTTTATGGCAAAATGTTGATAAATTAAGGATCATCGGAATTTTACTATTATGCTTTAATATAAAAAGGAAATAATTTTTAATATAACTATATTGAAGTAAGAAAAATAATATTCTACATATTTATTCAATTTTAGATAAAGTAAATATTTATTTAATTTAACAATGAATCTAATATTTTTTTTTATTTAATAAAATTTATAGTCTTAACATGTATTTTATTGGTCGGCATTTAAGGCTTCACCAATTCTTAAAACACTTGTTCGTATGTTATGAAAATTTTGAATTTGTAAGTCAAGCATGTATTGATTTAAATTTTTTAAAAATAAAATTCTTTTGATTGTAAAATTGTTAATCATTTATCATTTATATTGTATAAAATATAAATTTTCATCAAAAATATATTTTGAATGGTAAATATTAATACAAAACCTATTATGAAGGGATTAAGTTTGATACGCTATTAAAAAAAATTCATCTTTATGGCACAAATCTCCAGACATAACACGGATCTCATAGCAATCTTTTGAACAATGGATATTTAAACTTCAATTAGAAGTCTTCCAGAGCCCTGATTTTAGCAAACTTATAGTCAAACTGACTGACTTGACCAGAGACTCAATGATACTAAAATTAGTAAAATTCAAGTCAAATCAAGCTCAGAACAAGTCATTAAATGAAACTTAGAAGTTTTCCATACATATTTGGAAGGAAAACAAGTGTCGTACCTCGTAAACTTATAGTGGAATTGAGCGTCTTGATAAAATGAACCCAACAAGTTCAATATCACTCAATTCTAACATCATTAAGGTACCCAAATGTCCATCAAATGCCAGCATGCCCTTTTATATTAATTTTATGACAAAATAAATAATGGTATAGCTAATACCTTATGTGAAGCCATTCTTGAAGAGCCTTGAAGACCATAACTAGTCTAGAGCTCACTCAAAAGATCGGTGAAAATCACTTGGCTCATGTGAAATATAATATGAAACCTCCTTGGATGACCCTCGAGCATTCCATATATCCATTTGTCCCCCGGGAAAGTCGAGGTCATGTATGAATTGTGGGAGATATATAAGTTATAGTATTTAGTTAGCATACAGACAATCACTATAATGATTTTTCTGCAAACTTTCAATGTTCTCTATTAGTAACATCCATTGCTGAAAAAAAAATTAGGAACAATAATGCATAACAAGATATCACAACTATTTACATTTTAATGAAATATATTGCGAGCACAACATAACAATACAATATAAGAAAAATGACAACATCATAACATAATCTATCACATGTAATATCATTGCAACACAAAGCAAAACTAGTACAATAAGTACTTGTTACACCATAAAATAAAATAAAAAATGTAGACAACAAGATAATGTGTTCTTGACAATACACTAACTACAAGAGTAGTTGTTTTAGAAATACAAAACTTGATAAATAAACTCCAATAAAAAAACATTGGAATGATATAAATTAGTTATCAAGATTTTTTCGTAGAAGAAGCGAATGAAATGAACCTTACACTCAAGTGTCATAGATTTGAAGAACTCCCTCTTGACAAGATCTTCAAGTAGCTTCATTAAGTATGGAAATAATTGCATATTTTCATAATTTTTTGCAGTTTGTTCTAAAATCTTTATCACATCAGGAATAGATGAAGAAGATTTTGTAATGTTAGATTCGGAGGATAAATTTGTTCATGTCATAACTAATTGTGATATTTGACTTCTTAGATATGTAGTACCAATCTTTTTTTTGTGATCTGTCATTGCTTTTAAAGAGAGTGGCATCCTAGCTTGACTAGATTCACTGTGTTCATTTATGTCATGTGATAATCTCTGAATTGTTTTATTTGAGCTATCTCTATGTTATTGTGATTCCTGAGAAGTTTAGGCATGCCCACCCTTTGCAAAAACACCCCTAAAAATGAGATCATACTTCTCCTCTCTCGGGTTTGATTCCACCATATATAATTTTTTTAATATTTAGCACAACTTGTCATTCATACAATCAAAAGAAAAAATCATATTTGTTGTTTTTAGGCATAATTAAAATAGAATTACGGTTGTTTAAAATTCATTTCACCTCTAACTTCTCATTCCACAAATTTGCTAATGCATCAATGAAGTTTTAATTGGATTTCAACCAAGTTTGGTAGATCCTCTTTTGAGCTCATTTCAATCTTAAACTGGTCTCATTTGTTCTTTAATTGAGTTTGGTTATACAATCTTCCAGTTTTTTCTAGAAATTTTTTTGTAATATTTCACCAACCTTCTTTGCTTAAATAGGTTGTTAGTTTATTGCTTAACTTAATCTCTTTCAAACAAATGTCTCAAAAAATTATTTTCATTTCTTTCTCCCAAACTTTGGATGATGTGATGTTCATTGTGTTGCCTATTTGCTATCAAATCTAGAAGTTTGATATATGATTTCAAATGTTATATGATAAATAGAAGAGAATCCAAACACTATAGTAGGATAAAGTTGCATAATTTTTATATAATATAAGAAATTGAGGAGCAAATTTATAAAGAAATAATTACATCAGTCGTGAAATTTATACTTTGATTACATTTTATTAATAAACATAAATTGACATAATGCCACATTTTTTATGTATTTACATATCGAACTCCTAATTATTCATATTTACATGCATAACAAACAAGTCTCTTACTTCTCATAAAAAACCCACCATCACTATGTGTTCTTACAAATGAAATAAATTTATCCATGCAGAGGTTATGACAGTAAGGTGTCAAAAGTGTAAATATTAAACTTTGGCTATTCAATATAGATAGATAAATTATAATTGTGTGATTACACATTAGTAGGATCATACACAACATAACTATACTCAATGTAGAAGGTTAATAAAACAATTACATAGAGGGGATTTGTTTCCTTATATTAAACAGCATCTAATATAAATTATATTAAACAACAGCTAAGAGTGAACACCACCTTTCAGTTATAGACCAAATTCAAGCTCTCAATAAGATTAAGCACATACACATATACAAGACGAAGATATATTTTACTTCTATCAACCTACCTCCGAACTGAAATTTCACCATTAAAAGCTTCTTTCATCATACAATCCCCATCTATATGGTTGTAGCTTTTCATTCCTCTATTTTTTACTCTAATAGATATCTACAATGTTAGCATATTTGCACCTATCACATCACCAGTAGTTATGATCTTTTCAATGAATCAACCCCCCAAGGTAACATAAAAGAAATTACCCTTTGCACAAGAAGCAACAACAAGGGCATCATAGCTGTAGGACTAAGGATCGAATCATGGACTTCGGATACTTCACCGAGTTTACAGGCACCAAACGATGCCTAAAAAAATAACCTTTGTGTGAAGGATAAACAAGAACATAAAAAAAAAATGAAGTGGTTCTGGACTGAGTCAGCAAAAATGGGCGAGCCAAACACTTTTAAATCTAGGTTTGGTTCAAAATTGAGTTCAAAATGCCAAAAAAATGCATCCTAATTCATCCCTTTGGGTCTTCTTGTTGAGGAGTGGGCTACCTAGCAAGTTATGATGATTTATCCTCTACTCGATAGCTTAGCTTAGCTTATCCAGCCATTGGTGGTCAACAGTCCAACTAGATCAACCGATCATGAAAGCCAAATCAATCAAGTCAGTCATGTTAACCCGAAATCAATCGAAGGCCGATCAAGAACCTCGACTCAGTACATCCGACCGAGTAGGTCCTACCGAACAAAGGCCCCCCCAGCTCAACTGACCAAGCCAGAAGGTAGCCAAACCATAGTCTCATACACGTAAAATACATAAAATATCTTATAACACTCCCCATTAAAGAAAGACAATCATATAACTTCACATATTACACCCCCTCTTCTATAAATAGAAGATCGTTTTATAAAATGGACAAGATGTTTTACTACTTGTTAAATTCTTTTATTATTCTCCTTTTTTGGGGTTCTGAATTTTGGATCGGTTGCTAATGACCCTCATCACCATCACCACTGTTGGGTTTTACATTGATCTCATTTTACATGAGGTTGTACCCAAAAAAAAAAAAAATTTCTATGCACACCACTCAATTCATATGTATTTATGTATCTAACACCTAAAATTAAATTTTTACATGATATTTTATCTATGAAATCTTGGACATTTAATTGCAAAAATCATTTTTTTTTAACTCAGCTTTATGAATCATAAATCACAATACGAACTTGTAATTAATCTGTGCCCCAAAATGAAATAAAATCATATCCTCGTTTAATGCAAAAAAAGCTAATTAGGAACCACAAGAGTGAATTTATGCGAAACATTATTCTAAATTTACAACCTTTAGACTTGATAAATCCAAATTTACCGGCTTTACTAAATCCCACTTAACCTAAATCTTATGCGCAGCCGAACACCCACCAAAACCTGCAAATCTCAATTAGGGCCCCAACAGACGAGATTCATGACTTTCTCCGCCTTCTCTGCCCTTCGTCGCCTCACCGTTTCCTCTGCAGCTGAGATTTTTGCGCCGTTTTGCTCCACGGCGATCGCGGCGGCAGAGGAGACCTGCCGGAACTGGGCTGAGGGCCTTGCTATTGGATTAGTGCCGTGACGGTTGAGATTGCTTATGATGTAATTCCAGCGGCAGAGGCCGAACTGATCCTTGAGTGTTTCCACCGCACTCATGCTCGTCGCCACCACTAGAGACGCCTTGCCCGCCGGCGCCATGATGCTGATTCTGCTTTCGAGATCTTTGATGGAGGGGGAAAGAAAAGGAGTTGTCTTTTTTGCTTGACGAGAAGAGCTGTGTTGTGATAGTGTATATATTATGTAGGGGGAATCTGAAACCGGGAGCAGGGCTAATGGTTTTAGCGGCGACGCAAGCAGTTTCCGGTATCCCGGATTTCAACATACGGGGGGCTCTCTTACTTTAAATAAAATAATATTATAATTAAGGCAGAACTTATAACAGAAGGCGTGTTAGTATGGGTGTAAACGTAAAAAACACGCACTAATAGAGTTTGTATTAATAGAGTTTGTATTTATGTTCGGTTCGTTTGAAATTTAGTTTATTTAAAATAAGTTCGTGTTTAAAATTATTCGTGAAGTTACTGTTCGTGTTCTTTTCTTAACGAACGAGCCGAACATGAGTCCAACACGAGCTGTTCACAAAAAAACAAATCAGTTTGAAATCTCTAATATTAATATATATAAATAATATATTATATTAATTATATAGCTTATATTATATAAATATATAATATTTATATTAGTATAATACTAATATAGTATATTAATATATTATTATTATTATTAATTATATATAATTATTTTAAATTATTTTATATTTCGAACAATAACGATTCGAACACGAACGAACACATCACTGTTATTGTTTGGTTCATTTAATTAATCGAAAGAAAAAATTTTGTTCATATTCGTCTCGTCTACTTATTGAACGAATCGAACACAAACTCATTGACGAACCGAACACAAACTGTTCGCGAACAACGAGCTTTTTTGATAG